TTACTTCCAAGGTTTTAAGATAAGACTTTAACTTTTATGAAGCATCTGTGAGACTTTTTCCTCCCTATACATTGAAAGTTTTTTATCAGTAATATGAATACTTTTAGTAAAATTCCTTTTTCATGATCTTTCCTTTTATGCTGAAGAAATCTTCAGACATCTGATAAGACCAGTTACCAACTTTTACCCAAAGAAGAATTACAGAGTTTTTGCTATTAAATTGTTGTACCTCAATAAGTATTAGGAATATTTACAGATTTTAGTAATTTAGTGTAAAAACCATGGAAGTAATTCCAAATGAGGCAACTGAGGCATGGAAAGGTGCAGCCACTTGCCTAAAGAGGCAGTGCTGTTTTATAGCCAGGCTGGGAGCAGCCACAGCCTTGGTCCATGGGAGTCGGGTACTTTCCTCCTGTGCTATATTATGAGGAGATGCACAGTCATGGTTTGTAATGGACTCTTTTATATTAGCTTTTCAAAGGGGGAGGAGCTATTTGTCTTAGAATCTCCTTCTAAGATAGAGAATGGATGTAAACAAGTCTAATTACATAGTGAATTCCTCTGAGGCAAATGAAACATTTTTTTTCTCTAGATAGCTGAGTTTTTCTTTCCTAAATCTTTCAGTTATTTTCTTGAGTAAGTGTTTATATGGTGGCAGTTACTTCTCAAGTTTGCATAAGATGATCTACCTACTCTAAGGCATACCTGCTGTGCTCCTTTGGGAAATTTAGACCTAATGGAATGTAATCTAAGATTTCTTATGAAGAACACACACAGTTGGACTGGGAAAATTTTATATGTTCACAGCCAAAATACAGTTTATTTCTTTTAACTTATTCTGTATGCTAATAAGATTTTAAAATACACAAAATAATGTAGCCAGATATTTCTGATTGATTTTCACACAGGTGCTGCTTTTACTGAGGGTTTATCAAGTGGTTTAAGTACTTCGGTTGCTGTGTTTTGTCACGAGTTGCCTCATGAATTAGGTAAGAGAAACACATAAACTGTATTTGCCAGGTGGGCAGAATATCTTACATTTAGTTACTGGCTTTTGCTAATAATAGTTGGAGCAAGCCTCTTCACAGGTAACTTCCATACCTTGTCATAAGTTCGCTAACCTAGATCACTTTCTTTTCTTATCTGAGCTCAAGTTTGTTTCCAGCAAGAATTCTAACACCCCAGGTATGAATACATATGCAGTTCCCTGTGTGGGTTTGCCATAGAAATACCTGGGCCTCCTGTGTCGTCTCCCCTCTACCAAACGTCATTCTGTACCAGCATACTGGTGACATCAGTAATCATCTTCATATAGACATTGTAGGTAAGATTACAGGGTACAAGGAAGCAGCTTCCATTAACAGAAGTGAGGAAAACTCTCACTGGAGCCTGAAAAAAAGGGAAGTTGATGAATTGTGTTTTGAATATTGTTTTTCTTTGTTGCTAGGACTTAAGACTCTCCCTAGTTGTTCTGGATCTCAGTTCACATCCATTTTTCTTCTTAAAGAGACATTCACGTAAACCTCAACACCATGTTCACTTACCATGTATGTGTTCAGCCACTCAAAAGCCATCGCATCTGCCTACAGTGATTATTATAATCCTCAACATCTAGTTTATATTCCTCATTCTAGATTCTTCATGCCACATGAACCCTCTCTCAACTAGTGTTTTCATCTTCATGTATCTCTTTTTTCCTTTTATTACTGTAACATTAGACTCTTTAGCTCCTCATTCTATATCACCTTAAAATTTACTAATCATTTCACATGTGTTCTACCTCTCCCCGTTTTTGTTTTGGCCAATTATAAGCCCTTGAAGACCATGCAAGAGCATCGTAGTAACTGTGGTATTTATCATTTATTGACAAAGCATAAGCCTTTAGAAAACTGAATAAAAGATACCTTAGTTGGGTGGTGCCTGTATCTCAAAGGAGTAGGACACCAGCCCCACATGCTGGAGGCAACAGGTCCAAACTCAGCCTCAGCCAAAAAAAAAAGAAAAAAAACTACAAGGTACCTTAGTTTATAGACCTATTAGGGTACTTTACTGATTAACATTGCTTTAGCCCTGGGTAATTCTTTTTTTCCTTTTGATTCCCTCTCCAAAAAAAAAAAAAAAATGGAGAATTTTCTTAAATCTGGAAATTCTCTTGGATATGTGTCCTAAAACTGAATATTCAATTAATTAATTTTTCCTCCTTTTTTTGTTTTGTTAAAGGTGACTTTGCTGTTTTACTAAAAGCTGGCATGACTGTTAAGCAAGCTGTCCTTTATAATGCTTTGTCAGCCATGCTGGCATATCTTGGAATGGCAACGGGAATCTTCATTGGTCATTATGCTGAAAATGTTTCTATGTGGATATTTGCACTTACTGCTGGCTTATTTATGTATGTTGCTCTAGTTGATATGGTAAGTTTTTAAGAAGTCATTACCTTGGGGCACTGGTAGCTCAGTGGGTAGAGTGCCCACTACATACACCAAGGCTGATGGGTTGGAACCCAGCCCAGGCCTGCTAAAACAACAGTGACAACTGCAACAACAAAAAAAATAGCTGGGCAGAGTGGTGCCTGTGGCTCAAAGGAGTAGGGCACTAGCCCAATATATTGGAGGTGGTGGGATCAAACCACCTCTGGCCAAAAAAAGATAGCCGGGCATTGTAGCAAGCACCTATAGTCCCAGCTATAAGGGAGGCTGTGAGAAGAGAATCACTTAAGCCCAAGAGTTGGAGGTTGCTGTGAACTGTGATGCTATGGCACTCGACCCGGGGTGACATAGTGAGTCTCGATCTCAAAAAAAAAAGAAATCATTACCTTATTGACTAACAACAAAATAGAGATAATGGTCAGTAAAACCCCATTTTAAAAAAAGGTTTTAGGTACATGATTCTATATTCAAAAAGGTGACATATAAGGTGAACAGTTCCCTTAGAGTTTTCTTTTTTAGATTATTAACTATAAGAACACCTATGTTCTAATATATATCAGGATGCACAGGTACATCTTATCCCTTCTGACATATCTCTTTATTATTTGAGGCCAGCGCCCTACTCAGAGATGATGTATCTTTTTAGAGTAGAATCTCAGTAATTGTGCATCAAATTGTCTGTAGAGCTATAGAAAACCTAGCATAAAGTTTATATATATATATATATATATACACACACACAAAATTTATATATATATATACACATCAAACATTTTAAACATTTAAACTGTTAGATATATAGGGAAATAGATAGATACAACACTACAGCACAGCTGTA